TTCTACTATTTATTGACAGATCAATGATATTACATTTTCTTGAACATAACATGCAGTGATAGTCTAGCTCTCAATTTGATAATTTTACTAGAACCTGGATCAAGTCATCCTCAATTGATTGTAGAGTAATCAGATATTAGTAGGTGCCTATTATTCTCAGTCTTTAATCTGAAAAACAGAATGAAATCATTGGAACTGTAGAATATCCATATATCAAAACATTCTTATCACACAATGAAGTGATTTTACTTACATATTGCATTTCTTAAGTAGGTAATAACCATATAGATCAAGCACATACAGAGTTGATCACTAGTAGTGTAAGGAAATTGGTGGTATATTTCGGTTTTGAGTGGGAAAACATATTTTTATACCTTATACATTATCCCCATAAGATTGTACTTTTTCTGAAAGACTGGCGGTATAGCTATACCTAAGGTAAGTCCTGGTGTGTATTATTGTGCTTCTGCAACATATACTGCTTTTTATGCTCGATATCCATTTTCCTCTCGCTTTTTATATAATAGCTCACTCCCATTTTATGATTCAAGTTTGTTATTGTATCATTTGAGATTTTCTAACCATCAAATCCGAAGCTGTCAACTTAAGAATTCAGGTACGTTCATTTGGTTGCTCCGGAGGTACACCCGAGTAAGTGTACTGGATCTGGCATATATAGTACTAGTACGACTTTTGTATGAAATAATAATTGAATACAGGACATTAACACTTTCTATCGAAGTTTCATTCCATCACCGAAAGAAAGAAAAAACCCTTGAACAATAATTCCCAAATCTGAAAGTTTTACTACCTCCCCTGAGACTAGTTTTACTACCACCCATTCTGTGGAAGTAACACTCTATACTGAAAAACTACCAGTGAATTAATTTTGAATTTTTCCATTCATGCTAAGACGATGAAAAAAATAAATTAGTATATGTCCATTTCAAAACACACAATTCCTGCGCCATTTGAAATTTCATCAATTCATTGGTGTGACTGGTGCGACGTCTCAGTCCCAACATGCCTATTGTCCTTGAACTGACCAATTACACTGCAACACTGCAGAATGACGAGGTATCAGAGAGAGATAGCTATAGTTCGGGACTAATACGTCACGACTCCACCATCATATTTGGCTGTTTGAAATATCGAATGAAATATGCTGATTTCAAAACGATACAGATTCGATTCCCTTCAACTTCAACTCATAATATTGATTGTACATAAAATATAAATCATGATTCGTCGATTGAAAGAGGTTTGCACGGATTTCTTCCCTCAGTGGTCTTCCCCATTGTACAGGGTGTCCCAAATTCTAGCCTCATCATTGGGATCTCGGAAACTAGAAGAGATACGAGGTCGGTTAAATGGAGGCAAAGTTGCGCAATTTGGTGCTCATCAAAACGCCGCTTTGATATTTGAAATATTCCGAATACTTCCGAAGATTTTTGGAAAAAACCGAATATTCGCGATTTCATTTTTATTTTTTTATGACTCTGTTTGAATAGATATAACAAAACAAATTACACATTCTCATTGCTACTTTTTCTGTTCTACAAGATGGTGTTATCAGATTTTCAAACAGACGTTTCGTATTTGAGCTGCCATCATCAACTTTGTTTTTTTAAATACGGCCCTGGATTTTTTATTATGGATTTCAAAAGCTATTAATGTCCCAAAACTAATGATGTATCGCACTTATTCAAAAAGTTTATATTAATAGCATTTTCCATAAGAACTCGCTGAACGCTCCGCCTCGCAAATGCAAAATTCGCTTGTCAAACAAAGTGTCACTTTTGATCCTAATAAAACAATCTACTATTATTGATTATAGTAACTGAACAGGTACAGTGCGGCCCAAATAAATCGTAATGGCTCTTGGTCGAATTCAAATATTTTTGTCTAAGCACATGTACTATTCATGGCCTAGAAACGAACTATCTTTCCCTCATTTTTTTATGTTCTGGTTCCCACGAAAAGGGATATCCTGTAATGTTCAGAGGACATCGTGAGAACCAAGAGAAATGAGGTAGGAATTGGTGTTATTAGCATATTTTATGACCTGCTTCGGGCTGTGAAGGTGCTCAGAGGTGTCATAATTATTCCAACGTGAAAAATAACAATGGCATGGTTCTTCTGTAGCAGCTGTATAAATGCAATGAATAGGAATTGATCTGAACTGCTTTACTATTAGACTGGCCGGTAGTGACAGATTTTTTTGTTTTTTTCAATGTATGCAACTTTTAAGTAATGATTCTCATTGCTGTCAATGAAGATCTTGCTAAAATCACAGCCTGGGAGACCAACAACTTACTTGAATTCAACGCCGCGAAAACTCCAGCATGTATTTTTTCTAAAAAGTTTGAAAAGATACAACACCTACCCCCTCTCTATATCCTCCCTAGGTACGCATGATGTTCTTCATTCTTCAACATTATTGGGATTCCCTTTCGTGCGCACCAAGCGAAAACAAAAAATTATCAATTCCTGACTTTCAAAGCTTTTTCCTGTTAGTAGATTTTTCATCCCTTTGCTTGATCTGTTGAAATGTCTAATGTTTACATGTTTACCTCTTCATAACTTTCTTGTTATTGAATATTTTCTAGATGAATTCATTCAGTAGCCTAAGGGTAATTCTTTTCCTGTACCCATTTGGAGTGGAGTGGTAGTTTTTCCGCATGATGTCAAATTTACATGGGCTTAGGTCAAATCAAGCAGATTTCCGTGGCCATGACAAGGGCGGAGTTCAACCAATCAGAATCCAGGATTCAGCTGTCCTTGCCTGAAGTATAAAAACTGATCTCTCTTACTGCTTTTATTTTGCTGTGTGAAGTATTGTATAGTAATTTTTGTGTGGCACATGTAAGTTTGTATTTATTCATCATCATTCCACCCCGTATATAATTTAATTTCATCATTGTTACTTTCTCAAACCTACATATTTACCAAACCTGAATATCAAATCCTATAAAGCTCTAGTACCTGTCATATTTTGGAATAAACGTTTTTTTTCGTGCTGGCATCGTTCACTTTTCTATTTCATATGATGTTTTCATAATTTTCAATATTTTCAGTTGTCAAATAGTTTTGGTTATCTTCTTCTTCTTTTATAGTCAGAGCACGGAAGTAGCGACATGAGTCTAGTTATGCTCTTAGGCATGTTCCTTTCTTACTGCTGTGCTCTGTATTGGAGAATTTGAATTTGATATTGAAAAAGAAATTAACCTCAAACATTCCGGAGATTGAAATATATGAGAAGCAAAATAAAAATTCATTGAATCTGGTTGGAACCGTATTTGTGATTCTCTAGGTAAACTAAATGAATAGTTTTAATAATTTTCCAGACATAACCTCAAAATTCCAAAGTATTTTCGACAGAGATTTGTTTTGATTCCTGTAATTATCCAGCAATAAATCTAGCAACCAGTATTCCAGGATAAACCCAGGGTTTGTAATTAGCCTCAAGGAGCCAAGAGAATGCTCTTGGCTCCTTGAGTCCACATCCGCTTACAAATGGTCCTAATCCAGGTCTGATCAATAAAATTGACCCCTTGTTTACTGTAGGCACCTTTTGTGCCTTTCTTCACTGTGGCTACCCAGGCCTCCTCACAAACTCAACTTATAGGAGTAAGTGAAATAAATCACCTTCATTGAAAATCTGGCGCCCGAGATATCCAAAATAAGCATCACTAGAAGAAATAAGGGCCTTACTATCAACATGATAGTACCCTCCATACCGCCTTCTCTTCCAGAGCTCCAATACCAGCCAGGCAAATCAGAAACGAACAAGGAAGGAATGTTGGCAACATAAATATTTACTTGGCAACAATTCTTGAATGGGAATCCAATAACTTCAATGCAAACAAAACACAAGCATGCCTTTTCTCTAGAAAATCCAATCTCATCGTGCCCATTATACGCTTGTCAGGAGTAACCATACCTTCAAAGACATCCATTTTGATGATTGGTATTACTATCAGCAATAACCTTTCTTGGGAAAATCAAGTGAGATCTATTTGCTAAAAGTGCATCTCAAAAACTTGGTTTTCTGTTGTGGGCCAGGAGCTATTCCACTTCCAGTCAGCTGCTTATGATCTATAAGGCACAGATCCGACCTGTCTTGGAATACTGTTCCCATATTTGGAGTGCAGCACCCAAACATACCCTGATACTGTTGGATTCTGTCCAAAAAAAGGCGTCTCGTCTCGTGGGTGATGCCTCCATATACGTATAAATAAACAATACGGATCATAACGGGTGACAGGATGAAGCCAAAAATATGAAACAAATGAATATCCATAAGGATTTGTTGGCATGATACGCATGCGCATTGCGCCATGCCTATTATAGTACTACGTCATTGTCCACCGAAACGCATGTCTTTGATGACTACTATTATAGTAGTCATCAAAGACATGCGTTTCGGTGGACAATGACGTTTACAAGCCTTTCAATCAAAGCAGTATGTGTCTGATCGTTTCAAAACTTTTCCTTATGGATAGTCATTTGTCTTCAAAAATCGGCTTCATGTTTCGCTATGGAAACAGATAGAGATTATCCGTATTGATTATTAATACGTATATGGATGCCTCGCTCACAAACTCACTCACTTCTCTGGAACACCGTAGAAAAGTTGGCGATCTGGCTCTATTTTATAGACATTTTCATGAACGATGCTCTTCTGAAATACCAACAATTGTTCCTCCCTTGGCAGTCCCTGCGAGATTAACCCGTCGAGTTGAGACTTCACAACCCTTTGTGGTCACTTTGCAAGACCTGCAGAACATCTATTTCCAAAGACTCGTTCATCCAACGAACAGCGAGGGTCTGGAACACATTGCCAAGGGAGGTGTTCCCCGAGGCATATAACCTCAAGAAATTTAAGAAGAACACCAATTCCTACCTTATTTCCCTTGGTTCTCACGATGTCCTCTGAACATTACAGGATATCCCTTTTGGTAGGAACCAGAACATAAAAAAAAACAACTACTACTCACCTTGGCCGGTTGAGAGGGCGGTATGACGTTGCCGCCCATCACCGAAGACGCCGCGCTCGAGTCGAGCGAGTTCGCTATCGAGGGGGCGCCGTGGAAGCTGTTCGGCGGCGGCGGCTGCGCTGCCGGCTGCGCGGGCGGCAGAGAGCTGTTGTTATTGTTGTTGGTGGTGGCGGGAGCTATGGTGGTGGTCGCCGTACTTCCCGGGACGGTGGCGGGCGCTTGCGTGCCCAGTGGTAGGCCCGACGAGCCTGCGGAAGAGAGAGAAGCCAAAACGGCTGATGAGCGGACGGGGGACTACGGGTGGAGATTGAGGATTCGGTGTTTATGGGAATCAGTGTTAAAAAGCTCGTAAAGTGATACATCAACTTTGTTCTTCAGATAAAATGTTTCATCATGTATATATGGTATTGTAACTATTTTTTGCCATATCCACAGATTAGTTTGGTAACTGTTAAAGAAGTTCCTGTGGAAGAACTTTTCATAGGAGATTATGATTCCTGCTTCAATGTTACACGGGGTGCACAAAAACATTTTTAATTATTCAAAAAACATCACGGTCTTCAAGTATACTACTGGCCAATGGAAAAGAATAATTCAAATTTCTAAACGGGAATTGATTGAAAATAAAGAGGCTTGTTGGGATTTTTCTGCAGATGATTGTTAAAACTGTATAGGTTAATCAGTGGAGGAGGTGAATATTCATTCCTCTAGATTTTTGGGATTATTAGTATAATTTCAATTCACTAGTAATAAGTACCAATCAGATGATTTACCACAAAATGGTACTGCACTTGAAATGACACAATTAGGAACCTAAGAGAAAAATTGAAATCAAAGAACCAGAGATAGTACATAGGAACAGCAGACTCCGGCTCTGATTGAAAAGTACGTCAGACAAACTAACAGCGGTCGATTCCTATAGAGTTGCCAGATGAAATTGTAGGAAATCGACTATGACAGACAAACTAACAGCGGTCGATTCCTATAGAGTTGCCAGATGAAATTGTAGGAAATCGACTATGACAGACAAACTAACAGCGGTCGATTCCTATAGTTTCCAGACAGCGGTCGATTCCTATAGAGTTTCCAGATGAAATTGTAGGAAATCAAAACTTACATAATAAATATCGGATCTTTTGTTAGTGAAGCAATATTAGGTACTCGTCTTGAGGTTTCATGGACTGATACTCGAAAATATGAATCTACATATTAGTTATAGGTACTCGTCTTGAGGTTTCATGGACTGATACTCGAAAATATGAATCTACATATTAGTTAATCATCAAATAGGAGAAGTTTTAAAGAGAATAAGAACATATAACTGGCAATATGTGACCATACCAATATTGGCTTTCTAATCAAGTTCTGTAGTGGTACAAACCACATATTTTTCTATTATTTGCCTGGAAGAAACTTTCTAGTATATCATTTTCAAATGAAATACGTGATACTATTCTGCCGGAGATATTCGCCAATTTTTACTACAGTTTGATGCCTAGTAATTTCGTTAATGATATTGTTTCATCAAAACTATCCAGCAGAAGTTTTGGAACAATGTCATATGAGCGAGATTAAGGCAACAAGCTAGAGTATGTCAATCAACAAATATTTCCAGGAAAAATAGTATCAAGAGTTGAATTTGTATGACTATTTCATGATTGAATCAGACGATGAAATGTGATACAGAAATCCGTGCCGTCAAAATTGAATACTTATTATAATTCACGTTATAATTGTAAAAAATTGTATAGCTAGAAAACGAGATTGGTTGGTCACATGTGGGTCAATCCGGTCCGATAATTTATAGTAAACATAAAATATAGCTGTAATAAAGAAGATACTGTGGAAATGGCCGATTCTGATTGATTCATGAAAACGAGAGTAGAATAGTCAATAAATAAATGATTACCTGTTGTTGTAGCAACTGGTGTAGCACTAGTTGAAGATACAGTAGCAGGAGGCCTACCCCTCCCAGCACTGGGAACAGGACCAGCGGATCCAGTGCTAGTTCGGATCTTCTTCCCTTTCGTCCCTTTGGTGGGAGTCTCTACCACAAATTCCTCCTTAGGCATATCGGCCACTTTTGTGAGAAACACCTTTTCCAAAGTCTGTGCCATAACTACAACGTCTTCTCCGGGTTTATTGTACACATAACAGTTTGTAAACATCGTGTTGAAATCTTGAATACACTCTTTCCCCGACCAGTAGTAGTTGTTGTCGAGGCGTTTCTTTATTGTTCCCAGGTCCATAGGTTGTTTAATGATTCTGTGATAATCCTGGAAAGAATACAGTCGATAGAAATTCGTAGGCAGAAACAATGTGTGACTTTTTTCCATAAATGTACTTGATGATGTGTATATCTGACAATATTTTATAGGGCTGCATTAACCCCTCATGCCCCCTTTTTGAAATTTCGAAAAAAAATCATAACTTCTACACCAAGATGGGCATGATGAACATACAAAATCAAAATTAGAGACCTCATTGAATTTCTTTAAAAATTGACCCTTCAATGATTTTGAATATTCATTCTCAAAGGATATGGTAATTATTTTTTTTTATTGTGAGATATACACATCATGAAGTACCATCGGAGGAACACATTTAAAGAAAAAACTCCTATCCACGTGTATTTCGAAAAAGTTTCTATTATTATTATTATTATTATTATTATTAGTAATGATTATTCATGGCCAGCCACGAGTATGAATTAGTAATGAACGATCATTGGTGGTATGGCGCGCGCCTTGAATAATTGGCGAAGTCGTGGCTGGAACTCGTGGCTGGTTTCACACTGATTAATATTGAGGTGTAATAGTTTCAAAATTTCATCTTTTAATACACCCTCTCTGAGTGAATTTTCATCACCCAAGTGCCATCAAGATCCTGTTCTAAAAACTCTATTTGTTCTAGTATTTCATAAAAAAGTATCGATTTCTCTTTGAAATACTATACAAGAATCTTATGAGTAACCCAATGAGAATACTTTGAAGAACTCGTCTAACGCTACTCAGAACTCCCTTCAGTACTTCTTTGAAAGTTTTTATTGCAAATAATACCTTTTCAAGGTGTCAATGTGCACCCTTGACGGCTGGTAAATAAAAAATAGTTATTTTTGTATCTAGAGCGCGAAATGCTACTTTGGTGATCGAGATCTGATTTTTTTAACGAGGCGTAGCCGAGTTAAAAAATAGTCGAGATGACCAAAGTATTTCGCGCTCGAGTTGCAAACAAAATTTTTTCTACAAACGTCAAAAAATATAGTTCTAAAGTAAAAATTTGCTCAGTTTGATATAAAAAATAGTGTTCAACTAGCTTGAAAGGCCTCCCCCTATCCTCCATAGGTACGCACGATGTTCCACGAACATAAAAGGAATTTCCTTTAGTGCGCTCCAAAAGACAAAACAAAGTTATTGTAGAACATTCAGAAATAAATGATTTCGTGGATGTTTGCTTGATTGAGGACCATAAAGTTGAAATATAAATATCTAATATTTTTTACATAACAATGCGCGAAGTAGGTACTTCGCGCACTGTTTTACTTCGCGCATTGTTTTGTGCGAGGTATCATGGTAACGTAGGAAACTGAAAAAAGTGTCACTTCGCAGTTTGTTATCAATGCGCGAACCTTGTCATTTTTTGACGTTTGTAGAAAAAGGTATATTATATCTTATCTGGAACAAACAACAAACAACTACTTTAGAACTGTTCTTTTTTTACTATACCCACTCCGAAACTCATTCTCTACTAGTCGTGTATTCTCTTATCATTCTCCTACTTTTGCTTTGATAGCTTTTTCTTCAATTTGAAAGAGAACAAAAAATCATTTTCCCAAGAAATGCTATAGTTTATGCAGTCAGTTAGAAAAACACATCACCGCAAGCCGTTGGTCCCTTTGAAAGTTCAAAGAGTGCGGCAGCGCGGCCCGGTATTCGTTTGATCTGTTCAACTGACTTTGCATGAACTATACCTATAGAAACACATTCTCGTATGAATTATTCAATAATTTGCTTACAGAACTATTGATGATATCGGTTAACGATCTCAGAACTCTATAATACAACAAGAAATTGAAGCGGAACTAATTTAAAAAAAAACAGTGCTATGTGGGTGCCAATATTTTTTTGTATTCTATAGCTTTATTAATTCACCAGAACTATTAACGGAATACAATGCTTAGAACTCCTGAACCCATTAAAAAACCACAAAAAAATCAGAACTCATTTTTTTAGAGAAAAACGGCGATGCGTGAAGTTAGAGCTCAAAATTAATATTTTCAATTACATCTACGATTTTTTCAAAATTGCAGTCCGGCACTATAGAACCCTATTAAAGCTACTTATAACTAACAAAAGTTTTTCAAAAAAACTGATTTTTATAATATATCTGAGAATATCCCTTTTCAAAAGTTTCACACCCAATCAGAGGGCTCAAACATGAACGATGGAAATTTGTTTTTACAGGCCGGTTCTCAATTTTCGCACACCCTGTATCATGAACATCAGTTCATTGTACAAGACAAACGGTTGAAAATTACTATATGCTTTCTATAGGGTCATATTATACTATTATTTTCAAAATAATTCATAGATTTCATTAATGTAATCAAATACAGGCTGTTCCATTAAAAATTAGGACGTTTCAATACACTTCCGATTTAACCGTATGTGCCTCATGTCCCAAATTTTTATGTCATTTGAATGGAAAATCGAAAACTTCAAAAAAATTGCATGAAAATGTGTTTTATATCTGACTCTTATAAGATGACATCAATGATTTGATAACAAGTATACCAAGAAGAATGAGGGCTCTCGTAGCTGCTAGGGGAGGTGCAACAACATATTGACAATTCACAGAAACAATAATTGAAGGTATGTTTATATAACAATGTGGATTCCTAATGTATAGACATATTGTGTTAATTATTATCTGCATTTTCTGGTATAGTATATGCGTTTATTTTTACATTCTCTACCGGGTGTCAACGTATTCATTATACAATCCATAGTTTCCCGAGTTCCGAAGGTATAATATGCAAACTTAGTGAATGTGTTGGATTCAAGAGTAGTAAAATATTTCGATATTTCATACTCCACCATCACTTCCGGTTCCACCGGAAATTACCGCAACTTTTGAATTTCGAATGGAACACCTTGTATTTTATTCCATAATCACTTTGATTTGATAAGGTTTGATAAGGTTATTTAAAACAATCACGAAGATATTCGCGTTCGAAATTTCAATATGCTTAATGGGTGTTATGGCGCAATATCAAAATTTCTCTATCTCTCTGTTACACTCATTGACCATATGAAAATTTCGAAATCGAATATCTTAGTAATGGTTCGAAATAACCCTATCAAACCAATAACCCTATCAAACCAAGTATCCTTGAACTCGTTATGATAATCCCTAACCACCTATGGAATAAAATACAGGGTGTCCCTTCTGAAAATCAAAAGTTGTGGTCGTTTCCGGTCAAACCGGAAGTGATGGGAAAGTATGGAATAAGTTGAATATAATATCAGTTAGGCAAAAAAACTCGAGTCACTGAACTATAAACATCACAACAGTAGGATTCAGGGCGCCGTAATTGTCTAGCAAAAAGGAGTATTTTCATAAACACAGTTTCGAGTATATACGTGTTTTATATAAACAAAACTAGGATGTAGCGAGTCTGCTGGAAATAGTTGTGAGTTAAGTCTTTTGAAGATGATCGAATATAGATCATCGACACTATTCATGTGTTTGATATCTATTGTCCCAATAACCTGCGGTTTTTTTATAGGTTATGGGCCCAGAATTCGCGTAAAGACTACAAAGTTATTCCACAGTGTTTTACGTGTAGTATAAATTCTCAGGAAAATATAAAAATGGAAAGTAAAGAACAGTAAGAGAAACAATCAACCATTAAACGGCGAACGGTATAGTGTATGGTAATTTCGTGTCGTTACTGGCGGAATTGGATCTTTTGAATGTCATCGACTTCCTGAAGAACCGAGTGAAGCGTGGAAGAAACATAATCTGAGTGGCAGAAGCGTAATTGTCGAGTTATTGAGTGACTCATTATTGGGATTTGCAAAAGGACAATCTACGGCTAATGGCAAGCTATATTTGATCTATGAGCGAAGAAGTTTAGCTACTCAACTGGCATTGAGAAAAATACTATTCCACATGAAACTAAGTGGTGATATGAATTTGTTGCTACATTTCACTCACTTTGATGACCTTATTACCGAATTACTCTCAGCAGGTGCCACTTAAACATTTTCTTATGATGGAGTAATTACGGCACAGGAAACATTGAGTGAAGATAATCTGAATTTATCTTTTGTAAGACAATACTACTTGATCAAGCTGAGAAGACGGAACTAGAGATAACAACGACAAATTCGAGTTTTTCAATTAAGCAGTAACCAATCAAGTACAAGTATTAGTGATGCAAATAATTTGAGATATATTCCAAAAAGAAAGAAGAAAAATACCTTTCTACGAAATGAAATCAAATTTCAAAGAAAATTCAAAAACTCACAACATTAAATGTGATCATTGAGGGAGAAGAAATCATTTGATGAAGGACTTATTTCTACAAACAAAAACGTGGAAAACAAAACACAATTCAAATGGTTCACAAACGACCATCTGCTGAAGGACATGGCCTCGGACATGGTTTTTTGCCTTCATGATGAACAACCATACACAATTAATTGGAAACAACGACCAAACTTCATTTCTCATTGATTCCAGAGCGACAGACCACATTGTAGAAGGTCGTAGAAATATGATCTACTGGTCTTATCTCACGGTGGTCAGACCCATGGTCACATACGCTTATCTAGTGTGGTGGACCAAAAGTAAGGAAAAAACAGCACAACTTAAGCTGCAAAAAATCCAGAGACTGGCGTGTCTTGGGATCACAGGGGCTATGCGTGCGTGCCCTACTGCAGCAATGGAAGCTATGCTTGACCTACTACCCTTGCATATTTTTATCAAGAGGACTGCAGCTCTCAGTGCATACAGACTGAACTCCACTGAATTGGCCAGACCAGGTGATGTCACTGGTCACATGGTCATTCTACAAGAAGTACAAATGGAATCTGCAACCAAACCACCGGACATAATGCCAGCCAGGCTCAGTTTCGATCATACATTTGAAGTGGTTATAAAGCCGCCCTAGGTACGGTTCCGCTGAGCCTCAGCTGGACAGAGGGTCCCTTTGTTTGGTACACCGATGGTTCGAAAATGAAAGAAGGGGTAGGCGCGGGTGTATATGGAT